CCCACGCACACGCACGCCATGGCGCCAGGTACTGTGAGTTGTACAAGGACAACGGCATCTTTGCCTCTGCTGACGCTGCATATGTGCTGGCATACTCCATCATCATGCTCACAACAGACCTCCACAGCTCAAAGGTCAGCAGCTACTCGCATGCGTGTGTTGCATTCTTATGCGCGTGCACATTGGCATGGTGATTGACATTAGCGGGTGTGTGGCTGCGTGCGTATGGCTTCGTGGCCCTGCCTGCCTGCCTGCCTGGTTGTTCCGCATCCCATTGACGCCATCAATCTCACATGTTTAACCCTCCCCCTCCCCTAACCTCTCCAACCCCGCCTGCAGGTGAAGCGCAAGATGACCAAAGAGGACTTTATCAAGATGACGCGCGGCATCAACGAGAACCGCGACCTTCCGCGCGACTTTGTCACGTCCATCTACGACGACATTGCCAAGCAGGAGATTCGGCTCAAGGGCGGCACTGCAGCCCCGCGCCCCGCCGTCGAGCAGCTCACAAACGCCCGAACACGACAAGCCCTCTACCACGAGGAACGCAGGGTACGCCATTGTGTGTGTGTGTGTGTGTGTGTGTGTGTGTGGTGCTGTGTACGTGTGTGTGTGTGGTGCTGTGTACGTGTGTAGTGCTGTGTTGTGTTGCTGAGTGAAGTAGTGTAACGCATTGGAATGCAGTTTGATGTCGGACGTCACCTCCTCTGGTGCCTTTGCTGACACCACCGCTTGCTCTCTTCCCCTTCCTCCAACTTTCTTGGTCTGTAGAACATTGAGGCGAGCGCCGAGGCGGCGATGACCCGCGCCGGCACCGGGAAATCGTCCAAGCGGTTCCTCCGCGCGACGCACGTCGAGCACGTCCGCCCCATGTTCAAGGTACAGCATGGGTGGACGCCACCTCCTCCCACTCGCTCACAAGTATGCACGTACACGCACACGCTCACCCACTCACTCACACTCACTCACTCACACTCACTCACTCACCCACTCCCTCACTCACACTCACTCACTCACCCACCCACTCCCTCACTCACACACACACACTCACTCACTCACTCACTCACTCGCTCGCTCACCCAACACACAGGTTGTGTGGACGTCGCTGATGGCTGCGTTTACCATCCCGCTCAACTCCACCAACGACCAGCACGTGGTGGATCTGTGTCTGGAGGGCCTGCGCCTGTGTATCCACATTGCCTGCATCTTCAGCATGGATCTTGAGCGCGGCGCGTTTGTGCCTGCGCTGGCCAAGTTCACCAACCTGTCGTCCCCACACGAGATCAAGGGGAAGAACGTCGACGCCATCCGCTGCCTCCTCGGTGAGTTGTGACGCTCTCGTGAACGTTCTTGCTCTGTTGCATGTGTGTGAGACAGTGTGTGTGTGTGTGTGTGTGTGTGTGTGTGTGTGTGTGTGTGTGTGCGGGAGTATGTACGTGTGTGTGAGAAAGAGAGAGAGAGAAAGTGTGTGTGTGTGTGCGATTTTGCGTGAGTGTTGTACCACCCCTCATCACCACAACTGCAACAACCACCTCCACTCATCACGATTCCTTTGCGTGTGATTGCCAGATGTGGCTGCAAAGGAGGGCGATTTCCTGCAGGATTCGTGGAAGGACATTCTCGCCTGCATCAGCCAGCTTGAACTCGTCCAAATCGGTAAGTTGCGTTGTTGCAGCGGTCAACACACGCGCGCACACACACACACAACGTGTGTTTGTACGTCTCACTCGCCCTCACACATCCACATCCACATCCACACACACACACGCACATTGTCTTTCTCTGACACATTCTCCCCTCCGCTCACCACGAATGATACCACGTTCATTTGCGTGCAGTTGGCGCTGGGAAGCGGGCGCGTAACGCAGAGGCCATTTCGCAGACGGCGTCGCAGGACATTGTGGTGGCCACGGATCGCATCTTCATGCTGTCGCGAAACCTCAACGGCACGGCCGTGGTCGACTTTGTGCGCGCGCTGTGCGAAGTGTCCATGTACGAGCTCACACACTACAACCCGCCCCGCAAGTACACCCTCACAAAGACGGTGCGTGCATTGCGGAAGCGACAGCGTGTGGAAGGAGAGGGAAATTGGTGTTTGTTCGCATGTGGTTCTGGCTGTGCGTCTGTGCTATCGTCTGTGCACTCGCTTGTTCCCGCTTCTTTACGTTTGCACAGCTCTGCAGCATGCAACCACACTTCTTATTATCACCCCTTCCTCTTTCTTTCGACGTCATTCACACACACACACACACACACACACACACACACACACACACACACACACACACACACACACACACACACACACACACACACACACACACACACACACACACCACTGCCGCCGCCGCCTCACTTGATGACATCAGGTTGAGATTGCGTACTACAACATGGAGCGCGTGCGCATCCAGTGGGCGCACATCTGGGCGGTGATGGGCGAGCACTTCAACCGCGTTGGGTGCATGCAGAACCAAGACGTCGCCTTCTTTGCCGTGGACAACCTGCGTCAGCTCTCCATCAAGTTCTTGGAGAAGGGCGAGTTGGCAAACTACAGCTTCCAGAAGGACTTCCTCCGCCCCTTTGAGTACATTATGCAACACAACAAGGCCGTCGCCATCAGGTGCGCACCGATTCGCGTTCATGCTTGATTTGCGTGTGTATGTGTCTGTTTGTGTGTTTGCGTGTCTTTGTTTTTGTGTGTTTGTGTCTTCCTGTGTCTTCACACAACACACACTCTCACACACACACTCTCTCACACACACACTCTCTCACATACGCACTCGTATACACCCCCCCCCCACACACACACTCTCTCTCTCACATACGCACGCACTCGTATACACTTCCCCCCCCCCCCACACACACACACTTCCACGCGACCTCTCCGTCAGGGACATGGTTGTGCGGTGCGTTGCGCAGATGGTGCAGTCCAAGGCCAACAACATCCGCTCCGGGTGGAAGAACATCTTCTTTGTGTTCTCGCTCGCCGCCGCTGACACGGACCGCAACATTGTCACGATGGCGTTCACCACCACCAAGCACATCTTTGACCAGTACTTCTCCAAGAGGAACGACCACCGCGCGTCGCTCATTGCTGCGTCGTTCATGGACGCCGTGAACTGCCTGACGGAGTTTGCGTGCAACACGCACTTCCCCGAGCTGAGCATGGAGGCCATTCGACAGCTGCGCGTGTGTGCGACGACGGTGGCGGACGCGCCCGACCTGTTTGTCAACCCGCTGGAGGAGGACAAGGGCGAGCCGAAGATCTGGGTGAAAGGGTGGTTCCCTGTGCTGTTTGGCCTCTCGCGCATCATCACGCGCTGCAAGATGGACGTGCGTACGCGTGCGCTCACGGTCATGTTTGAGGTGATGAAGACGTACGGTGAGACGTTTCTGTCGCAGTGGTGGACGGACCTGTTCCGCGTGGTGTTCCGCATCTTCGACAGCAAGAAGCTGCAGGACATGACATCTCAGCAGGAGCGGATCGAGTGGATGTCCACCACGTGCACGCACGCGCTGCGCTCCATCATCGACGTTGTGTCGCAGTTTTTCAAAACGCTGGAGGATTGTGTCATTGACGACCTGTTTACCCTCATCACCTGGTGCATTATGCAAGAGAACGAGCAGCTGGCACGCGCTGGCACGGAATGCCTGCACATTCTCGTGATGAACAACGGTGCAGACTTTGAGGACACGACGTGGGAGCTTGCTGTGCGCACCATCAGCAACCTGTTTGACCAGACGGCGCCGAAGGAGCTGTACGAGTTTGCTGCGTCTCCACAGCAGCAACTACAGCAACAGCAGCAGCTGGGCGCTGGTGTGGTTGAGGATGCACACGACAGCGGAGACCTGAGTGGGGCTGACAAGGCATCGGTCAACGGCGCCAACGGGACCGCTGTTGCTGTTGCTGCTACTACTGCTGCTACTACTGCTGCTGTGAGCTCTGCGGTTGCTGGTGAGACGGGTGATTCTGGCACGGGGAGCACAGACGCAGGAGCAGCCGCAGCGAACACAGCGGAAACGGATGGCGGGGATGGCGCGACGGCAAAGGCGCAACACCAGCGTGCTGAAGCAACAGAGCAGAAGGGCGCAGAGGAGGAACGGGAAGAGAAGGAAGCCGTTGCTGTTGCCGACACGCCATCTTCAAAGGAAAGCAAGAAGGCCACGCCAACAAAGGCCTCGCCAAGCAAACCATCGCCCAAACAGCAGCAGCAGCAGCAGCAGCAGCAGCAGGGGCGGCCGCGAATGACGAGCAAGGAGCAGCGGAGCAGAGAAAAGGCGCACCAGCAGCAGCTGTTCAATGCCATTGTCATCAAGAGCGTGGTGCAGCTCGAGCTGATCCAGACGGTGGAGTGGATTGTGCTGTCCTCCACAAAGCCGTCGTCACAAGTGGTGCACAACCGTACACTCAAGGACGTCCCGCTGACGCCGAGCAAGCACCAGACAGACCTGACCAGCGCGCGTGTGGCGGCGCAGCAGCTTGCGCTGAGCCAGCCGCTGGACGAGGCGGGGGAGATGTTTGAACGGCTCACGTCGCCGCGGCTGCTGGTGCTGCTGGACTGCCTGCTGCGGTCACACGAATTTGCGCGCAAGTTCAACCTGAACATGGAGCTGCGCACGCGGCTGTGGAAGGCCGGGTTTATGAAGAACAGGTCCAAGCCAAACTTGCTCAAGCAGGAGACCACGGCGCTGGCGTGTGCGCTGCGCATTCTCTTCCGCATCTACGAGGCGAAGAACCGTGCGGACGTGCATGGTGATGTGGAGCAACGACTGCTGGCCACGTGCACGTCCACCTTCGACCACTTCCTCACCGCCATCACCAAGGACACGCGGGAGGTGTGGACGCCGCTCATGTGTCTGCTCATTCGGGAGCTGCTTGCGCTTCCGGACGCCAAGTTTGCTGTGCATGGCGCTGCGCATTACGACGCGTTGACGGAGTGCATCACGCTCGCGTTTGACTCGCCGCTTGGCAACCTCGGCTTCTTGCTCGGCTCGTTCTTCCAGCGCACGCGCAACTTCCAGTTTAACGCGCCTGCGTGAGGCGTGAGCACGTGTGTGTCTGTGTGTGTGTGTCTGTGTGTGTCTATGTGTCTCTGTGTGGATGTGGGTGTGTGGGTGTGGGTGTGGGTGTTGAAGTGCGGTGAGTGTGACAGATGCTGTGTGCGTGTTCAGTTGGTAGCTACTCATCTCGTGTCGTGTTGTTGTTCTTGTGATGATTCTTGGTTGTGATGTGTCGTTTCTCGCTCCTCTTTGTGTTTGGTTTTTTGTCTCCCATCTTTGTTCTCGCGTGTTTGCTAACGTGTAGATAGTGGGCGGTTTGTACGGTTGGTCAACCACACACACGCACGCACGCACGCACTTGCATACACACGGGACAAGGGTGGCAAATAGACAACAAGAAGGAAAGACGTGGCAAAGGTGCTTGGTGGTGATGATGCTGATGATGATGCTGCTGCTGATGATGATGATGATGATGCTGGCCATGGCAGCGAGGGCAGACCGGGATAATGACAAAACAGAGGCGAGGGAGAGGGAGTGATTGGGAAGGGTGGTCATCACCACGTGTGCATGCAAGCACGCCTAAGGGGAAGGAGGCCGAGAAGCGAAGCAGAGGAAGAGGGGCGCACACATGCAAGGACATATCTTTCATTTCAGCTAAGGGACCACACAAACAGAGAATACAAATACGCAGGGCCATTCAGGTGTGTGTGTGTGTGTGTTTTTGGGGGGAGGTGGGATGCTGAGACGATGAAGCACAGGCTGTGCATCCATGATCACGCGAAGCGACCAATGCGACAGCTTCAACGTTCATCATCATCAGCAGCAACAGTGGCAGCATCCCCCACGGACACCACAGACATCAACAGCAGCACAAAACACCATCATGAGCGCTACCACGAACAGCAGCAGCACCAGCAGTGATGATGCCAATCATCTCTTGACGGCGACAACGACGGTGCTCTCGCGGCCGTCGAGGGAAATGCCGAGAATGTCGCTCTCGTCATCAACGGGCTCGTACCCGGCGCGCACAATCTCAAACCCAGCGCGCTCAACAGCCGCGCGCAGTACATCCGCATCCATCACCTGGTAGCGGCGCACGTGCAGGTAGTCTGGAAACATGTGCCGTTGAAGACTTTCCGGAATGGGAAGGTAGCCCGGAAAGTGGTGCCCGAGGAATTTGCGCAATGCATAGACGTAATAAAACGCGCCCAGGCCGCGCATGAACGGGGAGTCGACCTGGATGTGGAGGAAACTCTCCGACGCCATGACGCGGTGAAGACTCTTCAACGTGCGGGTGAGGGCGGTTGGGGAGAGGAAGTGAAACACATTGGCGGCGAGCACGTGCGACACGCTGCCGCTCCTCAGCTCAGCGAGCGTCTCCGGCACCCCGCCCTCAATGCAGCGAAGGCGCGCCTTGGGGATGTTGCGGTGCTGTGCTGCTGTCTGCACGCTGGCGAGGTGGTTTGGCTCCAGATCAATGGCAATGACACGCGCGCCCTTCTCAAGCGCACCGAGCGTCGCTACACCATATGCACACCCAATCTGGCCACAGGGGTGGAAGGGGGAAGAAAAGAGGGGGTGGAGGGGGGTTGAGGGGTGATTGGTGAGGGCAGTGTGTATGTGTGTGCGTGTTGACATGTGTGTGCATGTGTGTGCATGTGTGTGTGTGTTTGCATGTGTGTGTGTGCATGTGTGTGTGTGATGAAAGCATGATGAGGTGGGCAGCGGCATAGCTACGCCAGGCAAGGGTTGTTGTAATGCAGCACAAGAACCGCAAAGGAACACACATGCCACTGCCAATGCTAAGCAAGCAAACAAGCAATCAAGCGAGCAACCAAGCAAGATAGCAACGTACATCCATCATGGGCTGCTGTGGATTCGATTCGGCGCGGGCAATCCACGTGTGCATGAATGCAGATGGCTCGTTCGACATCATGCCGCAGCGATTGCTCGTGACCGTATAGTTCTGGCGAAGTGGGGGGGGGGGAGACATGGTGGTGGTGGTGGTGGTGGTGGATGTGCACATCGTCAGCATGTATGCATACATGGATGGATGGATGGATGGATGGGGATAGACGGATCGCGGAAGCACACACTCACACTCGCACATGTGCACCAACGTGCACCAACGTGCATGTACGGGCGCTTGCAAGCACGCATGCAGTACCGAGTGCGGGGTTTCGGGCTGTGGTGCGGGCGTCGGGTGTGAAGGGGAGGCGGCATCTGGTGGGAGGTCGTGCGGATGTGCGGCAATCATCTCATCGAGAACAGCGGCAATGCGCTTGCACGCGTCCGAGTTCTCAATCTGCACCCAGAAGAGCTTGTCGGCCGTGGAGAAGCTGAACTTGTCTGGGGTTGCACACTCAATCATGATGGCCCCGTCCACGCACTCCGGCACAGAGTCGAGCAGCGACTGTGGGATGCCGGCCTCTGCCAGGTAGCGAAGGCAGTCTTGGTGCGTGAGCGTCTCAAATACGCTCGGGGTCATGTGCACGATGCGCCGCCTTGAATCTGCGTCGCGTGGGTGGTGCTGTGGGCGGCTGTTCTGGTCCGACGCTGCCTCGCGTCTTCCCAGCCCAGTCGACTGGGGCAAGTGTGTGTGCGCGCGTTTGGGAGAGAGGAGGGTGTGAATGAAAGGTTGTGCGTGTGGTGTGTGTGTGCGTGCGTGTGTGTGTGCGTGTGGTGTGTGTGTGTGTGTTTTGGGTTCATGCGTGAGGTAAGAAAAAGTGCGCGCACACATAAACGAACGAAAGCGGCAAACACACACACACACGCACGCACGCATTCACGTAGATACACACACGTACATACATGTATATACACACAACCGCACAGGCGCACCTGGAACATGATCTTGGCCATGATGATGCCGGCTGCAAAAGCAGCGGCACCGGTGGTCGTGATGACCTGCACGGTGAACAACAACGACGCACAGAACGAACGCAGCAGCATGGCGCGCCAGAAGCATATGACGGATTTGTGTGTGTGTGTGTGTGTGTGTGTGTGTGTGTGTGTGTGTGTGTGTGTGTGTGTGTGTGTGTGTGTGTGTGCGGGCGTCAGAGCGTGAGAGAGTGAGAGGCGCGGGAGGATGTGTGCAAATGGGTTGAGTTGGACAGACAGGGAGTGATTGTTCATGCACGCATGGCCATGCTTGTTCATCATGGTGCTGATGAATTGCCAAACACAAACAGACAGAAGCAACACGTGAATTGTGGGATGCGACAAGTGATTCGTGTTGGTCCCTTGTCGGATAATGTGTGTGATGCGTGATGTGTGTGTGGCATGTGTGTTCACGCCTTGTTGTGGCTTCAAGGTAACCAACCCAGAGGAAGCTTCGACTGCTTGGCATCCGAGACGACGTGGTGGAGGGGTTGAGGGGGACAGGAAGCGGTGGGTGGAAAGTTGTGTGTCGCGTTGGCGTTGTGGTGGCACGAAAGAAGCAGCACAGCAGCAGCAGAGCAGCGTGGAAAATGAATACACGACACCACAAATTGATCGAGAAGAAGGCCTTGGAAGAGGAAGGACGACGACGATGAACGATGATGGACACTGCGACGCTGAACACGGTGTTTGGTGCTGTGGTCGCCTTTGGCGGCCTCATGGGCTACCTCAAGAAGAAGTCCCTTCCATCCCTGTCAGTCAATTGACGCGCGCGCACCCGCGCGTGAGTGAGTGAGTGTGTGTGTGTGTGTGTGTGTGTGTGTGTGTGTGTGTGTGTGTGTGTGTGTGTGTGTGTTGAGGGTGGGACAAATGCACGCACTGTGTGCACAGTTTGACATTGGTGACAGCACACTCGCAAGCGAACTCACACACTCGCAAGCGAACTCACACACTCACAAGCTAACTCACACACCCACAAGCGAACTCACACACCCACAAGCGAACTCACACACTCACACACTCACATGCGCATGTTTCCGTTCAAAGGATCGCTGGTGGTGGCAGTGGCCTCGCTTATGCCGTGACTGGGTAAGATAGCTATGGTTGTTATGTGTGTGTGTTGATGGAAGCTGTTGTAACTGTCTGCAAAGCGATGTCACATGCACTGTCGCAAATAGGTTGAACGCACTCACACACAAACGCACGCGCACACACACACACACGCACTCACTCACACACAAACGCACACACGCACTCATAAACACTCACTCACACGCACACACACACACGCACACATGTTTGATGTGAACGCAGCTACTTGATTCGGTCCGGCAATGAGAGCGCTGGCATCAACACTGCGATTCTGCTCTCCCTCGTGCTCGCCATCGTGATGGGTCGCAGGTCGGTGTACCGTGCGTGCTGTAGCTGGTGCTAAACTAAAAAAGCAACAGTCGCCACCAACCCTGCTCTGCTGCCTACGTTTCTATTCTTCACGCAATACACCCTCCTCGCTGCTTCTCACCGCTCATCGCTTCTCATCTCGCCCGCGTTCTCCATTCTCTAGGGCCGCCAAGGCAAAGAAGTTCATGCCTGCCGGCCTTGTTGCCGCCATTGCCTCTGCAGCTCTGCTTGTCAATGGCAAGCGCGCCTTGGAAATGTAAACGCCGTGTGTGTGTGTGTGTGCGTGTGTGTGTGTGTGTGTGTGTGTGTGTGTTCATGTGTGTTCATGTGTGTGTTCATGTGTGTTCATGTGTGTGTTTGTGTCTGCGTACCTGTGTGTGTGTGTGTGTGTGTGTGTTTACCCGACTTTGTCCTGCGAGTAACTCCTCCCACCCCCTGCAACCCTCCAATCTCTGTCAGCCTGTCCGTCTTTCTGCGTTGAGTCTCTTCAACCATCGTATGTCAGTCAATCTTTACGAAGTCTGCGACAACCTTCTAAAATCCAACGACGACGCACGCTCGCTGAACCACAAATGTCAAGGTCGAACCTCCCATCAGGGCCACAACCCAACGTTCATGTACACACAAAGAAAGGAAGGAAGCCAGCAGCTAGCCACCTGCACCTATGCACATGTCCATGCCTTCCTCACCCCCTTGCTAACGCCTCCCTCACGTCTTTGTGAAGTGGGGGTTGATGTCCTCCTCTGCTTCGTCTGCGCCGCCGATAAACGACCTGTTCCGATGCCGCTGCTCCGGCCCAACACCAGCACCGCCATCAGCCACTCCCGCACCATCGCCACCGCCATCCGCATCCTCCACGACAATCTCGTGTGGGAGGCGCGTGAGCATGGCACAGTACAGGTTGTCTGTGCGCAGCCGCTGGGCAGGGTCGGTTGCCGACGCGTCCTTGAGCTTTGCAATGAACTGGCGGGTGGCAGCTGCCATGTCGTCGTCGTCGCGTGAGAGCATCTCCTTCAGGTGCCGCAGCATGGGCAGCACCTCCACGGGGGACACGGCCCGCTGGGCGTCGCAGTCAAACACCTGCACCCGCTCGTCGCTCAGCAGCTCGTGGAAGGCGTGCACAGCGGAGATGCCCTGGATCAGGCCCTTCCCAGGCACCACATCCCCCATGCTCGGGCACAGCTCCCCGCGGCCCAGCCGCTCGCCGTACCATGCGTTCCGCCCCTTGAGCAGCGTCACGTATGTGTCTGCGAGGAGTGGTCCTTGAAGGTCGTCTGGCCGTTCTGACAGCAGGCGCGTGATGAACACCATCTCTGCTGCGGCGTTGCTGAAGTACACGGCCTTGCTTGTGGCGCTGTTGTTGGTGGCTGCCGTGGTGATGCCCATGCCGATTGCATACACGTTCTTCAGGCCGCCCATCACCTCGTGCGTGATCACATCGGGGCTTGTCCACACCACAAAATTGTCGTTCCGGATAAAGTCTGCCAGAGCCGTTCGCACCGCCCGCACACCGCCGCAGATGCGCGCGTTTGCGTACTCCCCGCGCCAAATCTCAGCAGCAATGTTCGGGCCGCCTGTGTGCGTCAGATGTGGTGGGGGGGGGGGGGAGGGGAAGGGGTGTGGTAAGGAGGGGGGGGGAGTTGAGTGTGTGTGTTTGATTGGATGGGGGGGTGTCAGGACGCACCAAAACACAGCAGTGGTCAAGGGATACATCCCGCACACACAAACACGCACACACACACACACACACACACACACACACACACACACACACACAAACACGCACACATACACACACACACACACAAGCGCGCGCGCCTGACCGAGGTAGAAGCAGCGGTCCATGGGCACGCCGCCAGCCTCGTGGATGATGCGGGTTGGCGTGATGATGTGCGGATGGGGCTCCAGCCGCGTCTCCACACCCTTGGATAAGGATATGACAAAGGGCATGGGGTTGTCCCTGTTGCGTGTCTGCTTCAGGATGCGCCCCACTTTCTCAAACACCGCGCGCGTCTCTGTTGATGGCAGCCCGTTCACAATCACATCCGCGTCGTACACGGCCTCCTCCAGCTCTGTTGTCACCTGTGAAGGAAGGGTTGGAAAAGGGGGAAAGTGTTCATGGAACGTGTGGTGAATGTCACAGTCGAGTATTGGCCGCACTTGCACGATTCTACTCGATGTACACGCGAGTCTGCGCGCAGACGCGCACACAGGCGTACACAAACAGACAGAATACGTGCCCCAGTCGCACTCATGCACACGCACGCACGCACGCACATACACACACGTACACACACGTGCACAAACTCACACAATCACACGTGCGCACCTTCAAGGGGCAAAGAGGGCAGTCTGGGAGGTTGAGGCAAAAGCCGTCGCGGAGCATCTCGCAGGCTGTGAGGGTGCGGTCGCCAAGCCGAGCGGAGACGTACTTGAGGTACACGCTGCTGTTGCGCAGGCGCCGCAACACAGCCTCGTCTGCGTTGACGACATCCATCACGTGCGTCACCACCTCCTTGCTCACTGTGCGGCCGCCACGGCGCCAGATGGTAATGTCCACCAGGTCTGGCGCCTGCCCGTACATCTCCTGCAGCATGGCCATGAACACGGCGCCCCAAGCGCCTGCGCCCAAGCCCACGATGCGCAGGGGCCGGCTGCCGCTGGCCACGGACGCAAGCCGGCCAACCGCGTTGCGGGCACCATTGTTGTTGAGCCCAAGCGCGTCGCACAGCGCCTGCACGCGTTCCCGAATCACACCCAGCGGTAACCGCCGTCCATGACACCCATCATCGTCCATGGTGGTCTGCTGTTTATGGTTGTGTGTGTGTGTGTGTGTGTGTGTGTGTGTGTGTGTATGTGTGTGTGTGTGTGTGTGTGCAGGTGTGTGTGCAGGTGTGTGTGCAGGTGTGTGTGCTGTGATGTGAGCTTGATCAAGGTACGAAAGAATATTTGCTCTCCTGTCCACAATCTTCACAACTTGCAAACAGAAGAAGGACAACAACAAAAGATGGCAACAACCGCCCTGCACGTCGTTGAAGTGGGTGGTCGGTGGTAGACGGCGGAGCGACAGTGTCCCCTGCTTCCTTCTTCTTGGCACTGCTTGCTTGCGTTGCTTGCTTGCATCCTCTCACTCCTCCAGCTCTGCCTTGCCGCTTTCTCTTGCCTCGAGTGGCACTGCTAAGCACTTACGCTTTGACGGTCCTGTGCTGATCAACAGCTGTGCTCTTCTGCTCTCGTGCTACCACCTGCTGCAGAACTTGCGAGGGCAGCCGGTCGTGGGCTGCACGGATGTGCTGGTGACCTGGGATCGGCCGAGCGCATCCACATCTTCCCACATTTACCGCCTGTACCGGCGCCCAAAGGCTGACGACGCCCATTGGACAAAGGTCGCCGAGGGAAAGGACGTCACAGAGGCAAGGGCAGGCCAGCTCAAGCCATACACGCTGTACGAGGTGCGACAAGAGACCACAAGGATGGACGGATTGAGTTGAGGGCAACCACACCTTGGCTCGAGTTGAGGGGCCATGTAGTGTTGCTGGTGTGCTTGCTCTCTGCTGGTATTAGCCACGCACGTTGCCTGCAGGCAAGCTGCTTTTGACTTTTGTTTTTCTCCAAATGCGCTACCTGCCATGTGCTCCAGTTTTGCGTTCAGACCATCGGCCTTGTCACCGGCGACGGGCCAAAGTCCGCGCCCATCACCGTGCGCACGCCCCCAGGTTGGAGGAGGGGGTGAAGTTGCCTTGGGCTGTTGTATCTCGGCATGGTGCTTGTGTTGCTTGAGAGGCTGATGCTGCCTTGTTCGAAAAAACTTCTTATGCATTCCCACATAGCAAGGAGATGACTTTTGCCACTGACAAGGTTCACTGACTGCACTCACGATTTGTGTGCGGGCTGACTCCTGCCCTTGCGCTTGCTTGCTTAGCTGCCCCTGGAGACAGCCCGCAGAACTTCCGCGTGACTGCGCGGACCACAGATACGATCACCGTTGCCTGGGAGCCGCCAAAACAGCCACATGGACCCCTCACATCCTTCCAGTGCGTTGGGAATGTATGTGTGTGTGTGTGTGTGTGTGTGCGTGTGTGTGTGTGTGTGTGTGTATGTGTGTGCATGTGGTGTGTGTGTTTTTGAGTGTGTGTGTGTGAGAGAGAGTGAATTGTATGGGACTCTGTGCAGTGCGACAAGCCGCTTCTTCCAGCCGTCTAGCGCTCAACACGTGTTATCCCTTCTGTTCTGTTCTGTTTGCACTGCACTGCAGTCTCTTCTATGATGATCCATCACGAGCAGACTATGTGGAAGTGAGCCTGCCCGCCACAGCAACTACCTACACGGCACGGCACCTGTTCTCAGGCCGCCCGTACCGCTTCCAAAGTCAGTCAACCCTGCTGTACTGGTGCCCTTCTATATGACGACCGCGTACACCTGTTGCACACCGTGCGGACCTGCGAATATCGCACGACGGTTGACACACACACACACACACGCACACATACACACGCACACACACACACACTCACTCGCTCACTCACTCACTCACTCACTCACACACACACACTCTCACTCACTCACTTTCTCTCTCTGTCTCTCTCTGTCTGTCACTCACACACACACACTCTCTCACACACACTCTCTCACAAACACACTCACTCTCTCACAAACACACACGCACGCGCACACACGCAGTCTTTGCTAGCACGGGCGCAGGGGAAGGCCCCCACACGCCTATCCTCGTCACGGAGACGGCACAGTCGCTCACAGAGCGCGTGGCAACCGCGCACCGCGCCACATCCTCCCAATCGTCCTCGTCAACATCAACCGTGCCGGTGAGTCCTATGTGTTGTGGTGTGGTGTGTGAGAGAAGGGGGATCTTGTTGGTGAGTTTGTTTCTGACTGTGTTTGTGTGTCTGCCTGCCTGTCTGCCTGCCTGTGTTCGGTGCACACATCATATACGTGACACAACATGTTGTTCGGGGCTCTCACGAACACTTTCACTTTTGTTGCTGCAACAAGGGGTCCATCTCGGGGAGAGAGCAAGTGACATCGCGAGTGCAGTTTGTGGAGGAAGCAAAGCCCACGCCAATCACCCGTGGATCGCTCACCGCGATGATCCCAGCAGGCCCTCGCACGTCGACGCGCGCACAAGATGGTGCGCTGTGTACGCCAGCATGCTAGCTTGCAAGTGCAGTGTGCGCCCTGTTGTTGTCTTGGGTGCTGTACACTGCTTCTACACCCTATAACCATCTTTTTCCAGCGCTTTGCTGGTGTACCGTTGTGTGGATTTGTGCTGACGCTATCATCCTTGTGCTTGCATGCAGTGGCGGGCCAGTTGGGTCGAACAACACTGAGTGAGGAAGCAGAGACAGTGGCCACTGGCAATGACACGGCGCTCCCCGGCGAGACGACGGCCAATCGCAGCGAAGACACACGCGCAGGAACACCACCACAAGATGATGCGTCAAAGCAAGATGCCGGAACAGGTTCGTGTATATTTCCTGTGGTTTCGTGGAGGCCTTTGTGAACCACTGCGCGAGCACATGCACGCTCGCTCTCACACGCTTGCGTTGTCGTTACTCGCGATCCCAGGCTCCCGTCGCAAGCCCGGCTTTACGCTCATGGCACCTCGATCAACCTCCGATGTGCGTGTGTGTGTGTGTTGTGTACGGGTGTGTGCTTGTGTGTGTGTGCGTGTGTGTGTGCGTGTGTATGTTTGTGTGCGTGTGTGTGTGTTGTATGTGTGTGTATGTGTATGTTTGTGTGTTTGTTGTTGTTGTGTGTGTGTGTGTGTATGTGTACACCCGCATCTACATTCGCACGTGTGATCCTTTTGCGATTCCAACATTTATCAAATCTGCTTTGCACAGCAACCGAGCGTACTGCAGCGTTGGCAACATGGTCAAGACAAAGACTCGGGGCAAGGTGGCCAAGCATCCGCCCGCCAGAAGGTTTGGGACATGACTCTGATGCCCCACCCTGCTCTTTCTTCTTGCCGTGCCAGCGAATTCAACTGCCATGCCTGCGCGCTCACCATTGGCGCTTGGCGTGCTGCATGTGTGGCCTGTCCCTTGTACTGCAGCCAACGCGGGTGGAGGTGCTGACTGGAAATCAGGTGTCACGCGGTGCGTTTGTGCGACAAGACACCGGCACGCCAATGGAAGCAGGTACAGGTTGCATGTTGTGTGTGTGTGTGTGTGAACATGAAACATGTGCTCGTGCTTTGCTGCGCAGCCCATTCTCGCACAGCGCGTTGAACTCCACTCCCACGCCTTGCCTGTTGTGTGTTCCACTCACTGCTCATCGTCGCAGATGAGGTGCTGAGGTCCATCCGCAGCACCACGGGCACGATTCGAGGCAAGCGGCATGGCGTGCGCGCCAAGTTGGAGGTCCTCACGCACCGCGGCGTCGCACTTCAGGACGACGAGCTCTCACGCATCTACGAGGTGTGTGGTGTATGTGCATGTGTGTGTGCGCGCGTGTATGTGTATGTGTATGTGTATGTGTATGTGTATGTGTGTGTGTGTGTGTGGCTGTCATAGTGTCATGATGACGGTCTTCTTCCTTCTTCTTTTTCTTCCGCTCTCTCTGCTGGCATCACCTCAGTGTGTGGCGTAGTGTTCCCCTCTCTCCGTTGACCCTCGCTGACGCTCGATGTCAACGACAGGAGGAGCGGGATGGCAGCATTGTCGTGTACATCTCGGGGGTACAGGCTGTGCGAGAAACTTTCCAGCGATGTGAAGACATCAAGAAGGTTGTGTGTGGTGTGCGGTGTGTTTGGAACAAGGGGGACTGTATTTGAGGTGTTGTGCGTGTTCTGGGAATGAGTCGCAAGTGCCTCACAACAGCGCAATGTGCATCTCTGCTCGATGTTCTGACTGGCGACAGCTGCTGTACAACCTGCGGCTCAAGGTCGTGTACAAGGACATCTCCCTCGATGCTGGTGTAAGTTTCCACCTTGGGGAAGGGAGGGAGTGTGCTGGGTGAACACATTTTGTATGAGCCGTTGCCAGCCTCAGGTGTGTCTTGATTGACACCCTGTTCTCGCCATGCGTGTGTGCAGTATGCAAGCGAGCTGAAGAAGCGATGTGGAGCCGGCGCAACCGTGCCGCAAGTGTTTGTCAACGGCATCCACTTTGGGGTAAGTGCATTTGGAGGAGGAGGGGGAGGAGAAACGTGTGTGAATGTGTGTGTGTGTGTGTGTGTGCGTGCGTGTGCGTCTGTTCTGTGACAGTTGTTCGCCTGACACGCACACGGCTTGCCTGCAAGCAAGCAAGCAAGGAAGGAAGGAAGGAAGGAAGTTATCTGCTGCTGCATGCTTTCTTTCACACACACACACACACACACACTCACTCACTCACTCACTTGCACACACTCTCTCACTTACACACTCACTCACTCACTCACACACACACACTCTCTCACACACACACACACACTCTCTCTCACACACTCACACACACTCTCTCACTTACACACACACGCACACTGTGTGCAGGACTACAAACGGGTGATGGAGATGAACGAAGCCGGAGAGCTGCAGCCGACATTGCAGGGATTCGAGGTGAGCGTGTTTGCTTTGGCTCTCTGACACGCGTGTATGTGTGAGCTGAAAAGCATGTACTCTATGTGTCTGTTTGAATATCTCTTCGTTCATTGCCTGCTCTTCCTCTCGCGCCAAACACAGCAAGAGAAACCGGTCGAGGAGTGCTCCGCGTGCGGTGGACGTGGCTTCATCAACTGTACTTGGTGCCAAGGTGAGCAGTGTGCGTGCGTGTGTGCGTGCGTGTGTGTGTGTGTGTGTGCGTGCGTGCGTGTGTGTGTGACTTGGAACTGTACACGGAACAGCACAGAAGAAACAAAGCTTTTTTTTTTGTATCTGTTTGAATGACGCTTCGTTCATGACTCTTGGTTCACCGTTGTTCTTCCACCGCCACAACCACCATTTGTGGGGCCCGCACTGCTTGCTCCTACCGTTGCTTGCAGGCTCCAAGAAGAGCATCGCCCACCCATTCGATCACAGCGGATCACAGAACAAGGCGCTCCGCTGTACCGTCTGCAACGAAATTGGCCTCATTCGATGCCCAAGGTGCTAGCTCGCAATGTGGTGTGCGTGTTTGTTTGGAGAATGGGAGGGAATTGCCAAGGGAAGCTGAAGATGTTCGCATTGCTTGCTGGTGCGGTTTTGGCGTGGTGGTGTGTGTAATGTGCGGGTGTCCACTGAAGCAGTCATGGGAATGGCAGAGACCTTGTGTAACATAAACGATCTCAAAAGAAGCAACCATGCAAGGTAGAACGAGGAGCAAAGGGGGGGGGGGGTGAGGAAAAAAGAAAGGAAACGTGTCAACGAAAGCAGGGCGAAGGAAATGAAAGGAAAACAAGAGGAGAGTGGATGGTGTGCAACGTAAGGGAGGTGGAAGTGGCTAAGTGGTGGGATGAACAACAACGATAGCAGCACGAAAAGACAAAAAGGAAGGGTGAGTGAGAGTGTGTGTGTTTTGTGTGGTGGAGAGACGTCAGATCACGATCAGTCCATTCCCAGGTCACAGGTTTTGCCTGCCGTAGCTGCTCGCGTGGTGTCTTGGCCCTCTTCATGGGCACCGTTGTCTGTTTCTTCAGTGCCACTGTCAGGCGTTGTCGAGCCGTGTTTGGTGCTGCCTTGACCCTGTCTGTCGTTGGCACTGCCAGTTGCTGCTGAGGTCCGCGCCGATAGCCCTTCTTCTTCCTTTTCTCCTTCACTTCCCTTTACTCCGTTACGAGCATCCTGCGTAACTTGAGCCGCAGGAGGATCACGGTCGTCGTCGTTTTTGTCGTCGTCATCACCACCACCATGTCTGCCTTTGCGGGTACCGCCTTCCTGCTGCTGAGGCTTCAAGTTCTGTGGCTGTTGTGCAGGCTTCAGGGCAACGTAACCTGCAAGCAGGGCCGCAGCGATGACAACGACACTGAATGTGGTGTAAAACACCTCCGACCAGGTTGAGAGCTGCCACTGTGCGTAGAGCCAGTAGTGAAAGCCCAGAGGCTCTGGCTCTTGGGACTGAATGACACGCACCGCGTCATGCAGCATGGCAAACACGGGCTTGGTCACTTCGCAGCTTGTTTGTCCGTTGTTGTCCGTCGGCAGGAAGAAGACACGCTGAAGGTCGATGAACTTGAGGCCAGCTTGCTTGATTTGCGCCACGGCGTGTTCACGCAGCCGCTCCTTGGCGGAGGAGCTCAGCTTGTTGAGGAACGTAAAGGCAATGAAGATGGGCACGCGCTTCACGTCAGATGAGCGGACAATCACATCCTCGATTCGGCTCAGGACTTGCATCATCGCGGGGTCGCTCTCCACAATCTTGAGCACAAAAATGACCGCATCTGGACCCTTGTGCTGTGTTGGATCGCACTGGGGCATACCGTACTGCGACCATCCCCGCGCTTCACTCAGGGTTGTATTCGTGCAGCAGCCTTTGAGAACACATCGGATGTAGGCCTCAGACCAAACCGTGTCCACATCACGCTCTTCGATACCGAACGTGTCCATGATTTTTAGTGGCAGCATTTTGCCATGAAGGGCATTCTCACGGGTGCAAGACTCTGTGGTGCCGTTTCCGCAGACATCCAGGTTCCTTGATCTTGAGGACTTTGCACCATAGCAGTAGATGTCTGTAAAAGTTGTCTTGCCTGCAAGCAAATCAGTAGTTTGCGCACACCCCAGTTGTGAGTACTTGGCTTGCAGCCACCTTTGGAAACGCCACTGCTTGTGCGTTCAGAAACGTGCAGGTGCATGGTTGAAACACGCTCCCATCGCCTTCTTCCCCGCCCACAAGTACACCAACACGTGCGAACAGTTCGTGATCCGCCTTACCGTTCCTAACAGGCCCCACAAGCGTAATGAAACGTGGCTTGTAGTCATAGAATTGGAGACTGGCAAAGTATGGCGCGAAGATGGCTGTTCAAGTATCAAGCGGGTCAGTGCAAAGCGTTCGATGAGCCTGATTGCTTTTGAAGAGTTGTCGAGACACACGACGACTTGCATGTTTGCACCCTCGTACAGGTACAAGTACAAGTGCGCGCGCACACACACACACACACACACACACACACACACACAAGCACACAAGCACCCGTACAGGTTCGCAAAACACAAGTACACGAGGACATGCATTGTTGAACTCACTCGTAGGAAGAGCGACACCGCTGTGCGTCAGGATGTAAGGGGTGTGGGTTCTTGGATCTCTTGCATGGAGTTGAAGCGTACAGGGGACTTGCGCAAAGGAGATCTCCCCACGAGCAGGGTTTCGCACTGGAACGTCAAAGGTGACGGTGATCGATTCACCGGGTTGCAGGACTTTGGGCAACTTGAAAAAGAACCCGCCCTTGAGGAAATCTGTCTCGTCTGACTCGGAGAGCTCAAGGAAGAGGTCGGGCGTGGTCGGACGAAGCTGATCGGCGTTTCGGAGAGTACCGCTGTATGTCATTGTGGACAGGTCTGTCCCCGACGTGAAACTGCCCCGAAAGTTGAGCAGCTGCAGCTTGATGGGGTTTTGGTTCTCCTTCTCCAGCATGTCGATGATTTGATGAATGTCAGCACCTCTGCAGGCACGATGATGACAAGCGCGTTGGCAGGGAGCAAGCGCAAGCAAAGCAGAGATGCAAAGGTTTTGAGTCAAACCACCGTCTGCCACAGCAGCGCCCACACGAAAGAGAGGCAAGCACCCTCATTCCATCCTCACAAAGCAGAACACACACACACACATATCCACACGGAAAAGCGGACGTTCGTCGCTCATCAAGCTGACCTGAAGGTGAGTCCGCCAGCTGCAATGCGTTGAAGGTAATCATGCTTTGCTTGGCCAAATCCAACAACGACGCGGAGGACGACGTTGTGCGCCTTGTTGTCCAGAACTTCCACCGCTTCGTCGATGTCATCTGCCTGTCCATCAGTGAGGATAAGGAGCACGACAGGCGCGTTGTTGCCGACGTAATGCTCCAAGCTTTCCTTTACACCCTCGGCCAGGTCGGTGGAGCCTGAGATGCGTTCGACATCTGTCAACACGCATGCCAAACAAGGCATCGAGAGGAAGACGGAGCAGGGAGAGCAAAGCCGCCAAACGAAGACGCGAACGACAAGTAAATTGCTGTGGTGAGGACTGATGCTTGCAACACAGGGTGGAGGTGTACCAAGAGACACAGACAACAACAACAACAACATGTAGTTCACGAAAGCACTCAAGGTCGGAGCAGCATCTGGACATGCACGTGTTGCGTACTTGATGGGATGCGGTTGACGAAGCCCTGGGTGACAAACTTGGTTTGGGACGCAAACAGGGAGACGGCGCCTTTGGTGTTGACCTTCTGCATAAACTGCCTGCAAAACTCGATCTCCTTGTCGAATTCGTCAGCGCTGATGGATCCAGATGAGTCGACCAGGAAGAGCACATTTGCTGCTGTGGATTGCACCTTCTTTTGCGCTTCTGTGAGGAGGAGGTGAAAATCGTCGAGGTCGTCGATGTTGCCGCCAAAGGAGGACGAGTACTGTTTGTTGGACCAGAGCATGGACAGCAGCGCGACGGCGATCACCGACACTGCCAGCAGGCCGTTGCGGGTGCCAATCATTTTCTGAGGTGTCGTCGCTTGTTGTGGACGTTTAAGGCGCTTGCTCCTTTTCGTCTCAGTCGCAGCGTGTTTGAGCTTGGCACCCCGACCGGGTTGCGTCTGTGCTGTGTGTGTGTGTGTGTGTGTGTGTGTGTGTGTGTGTGTGTGTGTGTGTGTGTGTGTGTGTGTGTGCGTGTGTGCGTGTGCGTGTGCGTGTGTGTGTGTGTGTGTGTGTGTGTGTGTGTGTGCGTGTGTGCGTGTGCGTGTGCGTGTGTGAGTGTCTCAGTGGAAATGCAGGGAAAAAAATGAACCACAGACAAGAGACAAAACACAACAACAGCAACAACAACAAAGCTCCACGCAGTGCACGGTGGAACAAAAAAGGTGCGCACTTCTTCCAACAACAAACACGCAAGAGACCACTGGTTGCTTGTGGCTTGTGGCGTGTGCACTACTTGCACTAAAGCACTGGCAGCACGCAGAAACGCACAGTCAGATCCAATGAGTCATGGCACTGGCAACAGAATTGCTCACGCGCACTTCTTCGTCTTTCAAGAATATTAGCGAATGTTTCCAAAAGAATTTCGTTGGTTGCCACGTCAGAACCTGAAGCGTGACACACACTTTTGGTGTGCCTGCAAGCTTGACCACTGAGCGACTGAGATACAACAACACGACCAGCCAACCACCCCAACAGTGCTTTCTTTGTCGTCGTCCCCATTCACATGCGCACCCCAACAGCACAGCAACAGCATTCAGCATTGTCGCATCGTGCACGGGAAATATGCACAGACAGAGCATGCGAAAGACGCTGAGCGGCAGCAGCCACAGCAGCGGCCGCGGACAGAAGAGCGCCAAGGAGAGGGGCACCTCCTCTTCCCCCTTACCTCCTTCACCTCCTCCTTCTTCTTCCTCGCGCAGGACGGGAGATGGCTGGCTGCACGGCAACGGGCTGGTGCTGGTGCTGTGCATCTTTGCCGCTGGCTGCGCTGTTGGCTGGACTGCTCGAGGCTTCCTTGACAGCCAAGGTCAAACGCAGCCACTGCCACCGCCACCGCCTCACGGAAATGGGACGCGCGAGGACAATACAACTGACCCAGCACCACTGCCTCCGCTGCCGCCGTGTGATTTCTATCCTGGCGGGTTTAGGGAGCCGGCCGATGTTGGCGAGTGCGTGTACCCGGTGCAGATGCTGGTGACTGGTGTTCCCAAGCACGCTGCCATGTGGCAAGACGAGGCGACGGCGTTTGTGGGCAGCAAGTTGATTGGCGATGAGAGTGCACCCGTGAGTTCGCGTGTACTGGAAGGCACGCCGTTCTTTGTGGCGGGCGTGAGCACGTTTAGCAATGTGGACGAGGTTCCGGGCAAGGTGAAGAATGCCACGGCGATTGCTTTGTATTTTGCCAAGCTGAAGCACGAGCATGCCAAGGACGAAATCCCACCACAGTTCCACGACACCTCCCTCGCTCTCCAGCAACAGCACGGCGGTAAGTGCGAATGTATGCGTGCGTGTGTGTGTGTGCGTGTTTGTGCGTGTGCGTGTGTGTGCGTGTTTGTGCGTGTGCGTGAGTGTGTGCGTGTGCGTGTGTGTGAGTGTGTGTGTGAGTGTTTGTGCGTGTGTGCGCTTACTTTCGTTTGCTGTCGTATTTTGGTGTACTCCTTTGCCCTTGCTCGTGTGGTCATGTTTGTGCTGTGCTTCCGTGTTTTTCACATACACACAGACACACAGACACACAGACACACACACACACACACACAGACACACACAGACACACAGACACACACACACACACACACACACACACACACACAGACACACCCGCCCTCATCTCATTTCTTCATGCTGCACATGTTGCGTTCATTGCAGTGACCACCATCCCCGTGTGCCTGGCCGTGGACGGTGCTCCTGATGCGCCGGAGCGCGTGCCCGTGCGCCAAAACTGCCCGCACTGGCTGCTTGTGAGCCAGGAGGTGGAGGATGGCCAGTTTGTGTACCCGATGAACACGGGCTGGGCTGGCTTACCGCGCGAGTTGCGCAGCCTGAGCAAGGACATTGCAACCCGCCTCAAAGACACTCCCAAGCAACAGTCACAACAGCAACAGCATCAGCAACAACATCAGCAACAACAACAACAACAACAGCCGACCAAGACCACATGATTGTGTTTGTATGTTTTTGCTTTGTGTGTGTGTATGCGTGCATGTCACCCATTGCATTCTGTACGTTTGGTTCCCCGTGTCACCAAATACACAAAGCGTTCACGTCTAATTCTGTAAGCTGAAAAGCGCTGAAAGGTGGACCACAACAAGCCACGTGGAAGCAAGTGGGAGCAGGCGCAAGCACGTGGCGTCTACTCCACACACACACACACACACACACACACACACACACACACACACACACACACACACACACACACACACACACACACACACACACACACACGTCACTCCTTGTGCTGTTCGACAAAGGCCTGCGCCGTGTCCAGTAGCTGCTGTGTGCGGTCGCGCAGCTGTTGCATCTCTTCTCCACCATACCCCTTGTCCACGGCCATGCTCAGCGTCTTGGCCACGCCTTTGATCATCAGCTTGCAGCTGTTCATCTCCTTCACGGCTTTGCCCTCAGCGTTGCCTGCACATGTGCGTGTACGTGAGCGTTGGCCGCATGGGCGTGAGGTGTGTGTGTGTGAACGCTACGGTCAAATGCGGCAAGAAAACAGTTTGATGAACAGACACCCGAAGCATTCACACAGACAGATAGACAGACAGACAGACAGATACACACATACACACACACGCACGTACGCACACAGACAGACACGCACGCACGCACACAGACAGACACACGCACGCACGCAGACAGACAGACACACACGCACGCACGCACGCACAGAGCCCTTCTCCCATCACACACCTTCCACCATGTCCTGGAGGCATTCCACAACACGGGTGGCGGCGTGTGGATCCTTTTCCCAGCCCTTGGCGGCCTTTGCAAGCTGGTACGCGTTGCGCCTTGCATCGTACGCCTGGAAGGTGCACATGTGAGCAGTAGCTACGCCCCCGAGCAACGCACAGCAAGTTCGATTGGCGTCTTAAACACACACACACACACACACACACACACACACACACACACACACACACACACACACACACACACACACACACACACACACACACACACACACACACACACACACGCACCTCCTTGTGGCTGCCGATGCCGTTGAAGAAGCGAGCGGCAACGAGCCACACACGATAGTCTGAGACCGTGATGTGGCGCAAGTTCTGCATCACCTCCGCCAGCTTGTCGGTGAACTGCTTCGACTCGCGGCCCTCCACATCACGCACGTTGTTGAGCACGCCCTGCGTAAGTGCAGCGAGCACCTGTACACCGCAACAAAAAATAGTGATTGTCAGCGGGTGAATGCGACAATTTGGGGGGGGGGGGGAGGAGGGGTGGAGGGTGGAAGGTGGGGCCATGCACAGCACAAACACGCGTACAAGCACGTGAGTTGTACAAGCACGCGTGTTTGTGTCACAATGACACACGCACACACTCACAACATGCAACGCACCTGCCAGTCGTCGTACGCTGATTTGAGCTCCATCAGACGGTGAATGCTGCGAATTGTTTCCGAGAACGCGCACACGTCCACGGCGATGGCGCTGTAGTTTTCCCACACCTTCCAGTTGTCAAACGCCCGCTTGGTCGACTCCTGCACAGTGCACAATGAAAGAGTGGTGTCAAGATTGCACCCAAGGCAAGGGCGGGGAAGTGGGAGTGGAGGGAGCGAGGTTGAGTTGGCGCGAGTGCGGCAGGCGTGATGTTGTGCACACACACACACACACACACACACACACACACACACACACACACACACACACACACACACACACACACACACACACACACACACACACACACACACACACCACCACCCACCCACCCACCCACACACACACACGTGCGCCATTTGTGTTAGAGACACACACACACACACACACACACACACACACACACACACACACACACACACACACACACACACACACACACACACACACACACACACACACACAAACACACACACACCCTCCCCGCCCCCCCAAACCACATCCACACGAACAACGCACGTGGAAGGCAAAGTAGGCGCGGCGCTTGTCACCGAGCTGCACGTATCCGTTGGCGAGGTTGTTCCAGGACTCAAAGTCCGAGTCATCAATCTCCACCTTGCGACGGAATGCGCGCGTGCACGTGGCGTGATCGTCAATGCGCATCGCAGCACAGCCGAGCGAGAACCACACGCCAGCCTGCAGCGAGTTGAGCTTCAGGCACCTGCCGAGATGGTGGCAGTTGGGGCGGGGGGATATGTGGTGTCAAGAAGGGGTGATGTGGATGGAGCAAGGAGGTTGAGGGTGTAGAGACTCAGCGGTGCAGCGAGGCAGGGGTGAGGGATAGACGTATGACACATGTGGTTGCAGCAGTGTCAATTCAGGAGCACCACAGCCCCCGTTCGTCGCCGCCCACTCACTTTTCGAAGCAGTCCATGGCGCGCTTGTACTTGTCTGTCTTGAGTTCATCTCGCGACTCCAGGGCGTGCTCAGCCTGAATTCAGGTGGATGGCAGCGGTGCGCAGTTGCCCGCAAGGCAGCAGCAGCAGCAGCGGGCATGGCGCGGGGGGGGGGGGGGAGAAGCGTGTGGCATGCGAAAGTGAGAGAAAGCGAGTGAGAACGCAAACACAGACATAATCACAAGCACAGGCCTAATCGCAAACGTAAGCACAAAACTCCACCAGCCACCACAAAAACTCAAAAAGCAATGCCTGCTGCAGTCCCCCTTCCCTCCCCTACTCCTAAACACGCAGGAGTCTTGGCGCACCTGTCTGAGCAGCATGAGGCCCATGAGTCGCATGGCCTTTGTAAGGCGCCCGCCAGACATCTCCCACGCTTTTGTAAAGTGCTCCTCCTTGCGCGTAATCTCGCCAAGCGCACACCACAGCGACGCGCTGGATCGTGATGCAATGTGAGGCACGGTCATCGTGGGTGGGGGATCGCAAGCTCAGGTCAAACTCTGCCATTGACAACAACAACAACAACAACAACAACAACAACAACAACAACTTAAACAACAACAACAACAACAACAAGGACAACAACAACTTAAACAACAACAACAACTAAACAACAACAACAAGACAACAACAACTAAACAACAACAACAACAACTTAAACAACAACAACAACAACAACAACAACTTAAACAACAACAACTTAAACAACAACAATAACAACTTAAACAACAACAACAACAACAACAACAACAACAACAAGAAGGACAACAACAACTTAAACAACAACAACAACAACAACTTAAACAACTTAACAACATCAACAACAACAACTTAAACAACAACAACAACAACTTAAACAACTTAACAACATCAACAACAACCACCACCACCGCCACCAGCAGGCACTGACTTGTTTGGGTCGACGTCGAGGCGGGCGCGAACAATGGCCTCTGCAGTGGTGTCCTGGTTCAGGAGCTGATGTGCTGTGATGACACCCTCCCACAGCTCAAGTCGCTCATACAGCACCAGCGCATCCCGGTGCAGCCCAATCGTAATGTACCGCTGTTTGTAGAAGGGGGGGGGGCCGGAGTTGGTTGATGGGCGTGAATGGGTGAGAGAGAGTGTGTGTGCGGATGTACATGTGTGTGGGCATATGTGTGCATATTTATGTGTGTGTGCATGTGTATGTGTGTGCATGTGTGCATGTGTGTGCATGTGTGTGCATGTGTATGTGTGTGCATATGTGTGCGGGCATATATATGTGTGTGCGTGTGTGCGTGTGTGTGGATGTTGTGATAACAGCACATTTGGGGTAACATGTGCAATGACACACGGTCCTGAGGCAGGAGGGACACAGCAGTGCAAGTGCAAATGGACGCTGGGTTGCACACAACTTGGCAACGGCACGACACAACAGATGACCAACCTGTGCGAGTTCACGCTGCAGCTGCCAATATGGGGGCAGCGAAACGCTGAAGATGTTGTGGAGGCGCCCGCGCGCATCTGGCGCACGCCGCCTAATGGTGATGAAATGATGATGATGGCGATGGTGATGGTGATGGCGATGAGATGTGAATGTGTGAGTGTGTGTGTGTGTGCGTGTTTGAGGAAATGACCAGGTGTGAGTGGTACAGAGGCGTGGAGCAAGTGAATGCAACAGCTTTCGCATGCTCCCGACCATGCATGCCATGGTGGTGGATGCATAACGCCACGAAAGAGCGGAAAACCCCAAACACGCAACACCCCCCCCCCCTTCAAAAAAAAAAAAAAAAACCAACAGCACTCCACCACCCGTTGCGATTGCTCTCACATGAAGAGGTTGGAGACAACAGCGAGCTGCTCCGTCGAACGTTGCAGCTTTCGCGACTTCAACTTGTCCAGCCGCGTCTGGGTACACGTGCGAGTATATGTGTGTATTGTGTGTGAGTGTGAGTGCGAGCGTGTGTATTGTGTGTATTTTGCGTGAGTGTAAGTGCGAGTGTGTTCGTGTGAGTGTAAGTGCGAGTGTGTGTGTGTGTGTGTGTGTGTGTGTGTGTGTGTGTGTGTGTGTGTGTGTGTGTGTGTGTGTGTGTGTGT